GCGAATGGCTCTGTCATTCCTACCTACGGTACACGACAGCTAACTATCAACCTGATTAATCGACGACGGTATCTATGGACGTTTATCCCTGCTAATGTTCCCATAGCCGTACTCGGTATCGATTCCTTACAGCTCTATGAATTGCTACTCCATTCACGTAGGCTGCGTTAATCGATACTTCATCGAATAACAAATCCATGGTTTTTAACGCGCAAACAGATATGTACCGAATTTTTCGCATTACTATTTATTCCATGTTATATTCGATAAATTCCCCAAAGTAACGAAACCGAGTAGATTCAACTGGTGGTTATTTATGTGGTAAGCCACATCCTCACCTGCAGACCACCAGTCATGGCAAAACCTCGCCGACTGGCACTGGACAGATTAGATTTCGCTAAGCGTGAGTTTGACAGTTTACTTGCTATATGTATTACTTCGTCTTTCTCACAGACCTTAAGACTCCTCTCTTCACTCGGTTCGCAGAAAGACGGCATTTGTTGGAGACGACGTGGCGATTACGGAGCAGCAACGGCAAATATCCAATGTCCCGCCTCCGAACTTGTATACGGCACGACATGGCATCTGCCTGGGGAATTTTTTCACACCACGGAACAGCGATTTTATTTATATCAGATACCATCCAACGACTATCTGCGTAGATGCGAATACTGCCTCCGGTGTGAACTCGAATATAACATCGACAGGTCGCTCTCCCTCGAGAGTTATTTACCTGTCCGCAAGTTTTCTTACTAGTAGATTCAGTAATACGAAGGATCTTTTCACGTGATCTCTCGTCATGAAAAGACCTTCAAGGTTGATGGACACAGTCAGCATTGATCGTCTCATACCAGCACACTTTAATGACAGTGCCCTACCCGGTAAATCGAGATATAATGCTGTACTCGTTCAACTCACTAGCGGGATCCTTATTTTTCCTTCTGATCCCACGCTAGATAAACCAAAGACCTCATTCTCACTTTTCTCCCTTTTACTTTAATTTTTTTTATCCCAAGCCTATACCTCCGACCATTGCCCTGTTGGTACCGTCGACTTCAGCCAACGTTGGCGGAAACTGGCCTGACCACCCACGCTCTTGTCAATGCACTCAGTCGATTTTCTGGTTACGAATATATCTGGTATACGAATGGTTTCGCACTGGTCGTTTCTGTCTCCTTCGCTCAATCTGGTTCTGTCCTACGTCTGCAGATTAATCTGGTCCGAAACCCTACAAGCGCAATCTTCAGACTCTGGATACGAGCCACGCTGGTGTGGCATGCCAATCCGATAGACAAACCTGGCACATCAACTCGAGCAGCAAACCTGTCACGTTACTACTGGTGCAGTTCAACGTAGAAGACTATCGGTGACAACACGACCTTCATTGGTCGCTTCCTGTTCGTCAACCTTTCCCAACTACAACCAAATGCTGGCCGATAATTCCCTACCCAGAACGCAGCCGCTACGTATCGAAAGTGTGAACCCCTTCTAGGCGGGAGCTGCTGTAGTGGAACGCTTCCACGAAGAAAATACGATTTTTGAAAAATAAACATTATTGTACTCGTTTTGTTTAACTGTACCAAAAACATTTCTACGACTTTTTGCGCTCAACGTTCTCTTCGCGTTGCTGCCATCTTTATCTATTTGCTCACCGTCAGTGGTGAGCATAGTCAATCTGGTATCTTGACTCGCTCACCACAATCACCACTAAATGGTCCATACTAACACGTCACGTATGTCAAAATAAATCCATGTTTGAGTATTTTATTAGAGGAGAAATTAGGCATTACATGGAGAGCAGCAAGTTAAGAAAACAGGAGCAACGCGAAGAGCACGTTGCGCGCAAAATGTCGTAGAAGTGTTTTTGGTACAGTTAAACAAAACGAGTACAATAATGTTTATTTTTCACAAATCGTATTTTCTTCGTAGAAGCGTTCCACCAAAATCCCTTACTGGCTTCGTGTGCTTGCGGTTTTGTGATCTGTGCTGCATGGCAATTATAACAGTACCAAGCTCAAGCTCTACATTTTTAATTCATCAGTGAGAAAGGATGTCTAACTTTTCACTCAAAACTATATGGAATCTAAATTACGTTCATTTGAATGATACAGATTTAGTTTATGAAAACGTTATTTATATACATATTAAATAATTTTTAAATCGGGGAAAACGAATTCAGGATAAGCTAGTTACAAGTTATTTGATTGACGTGTACGTGCAATATAATTATTCACTGCATTCAAATAATAGACTTGTACTGATCTACATTTACGAAGAAAACGCGACTGGAGTAATGGAAACATTTATTGTTGTAATCAGTTGAACCAATGATTGTCTTACTGTACCATTATGCTTATCTGTAACGAAGACACATTTTCCGTTGTCCGTGACCTTATGCCTGCTCACGTACGCACGGTAGTCTCGCGTGTAAACTTTGGCACGATCTCAGAATTATATCGACACTGCGAGATCGCCAACAAATATATCCTAACTACAATTACAACTGTCTTTCTGACATTTCTCCTGCGGAGGGATTTAACCTAATAATTGGCACTTGATTGATCTGTGGTGGTGATCATAGACACTCTCGACTTGAAACCCCACATCTGGTAAGCGACGACTTCGAACACGCCTCAACTGCTAGCGAGTCTCCTAAAGAAGCCAATTACGGTGATCCTATTATTCATCTATCCACATTTATTTATTTTATCGTTGTTGCATATTTCATATCGATACCTTTTAATCTATACTGCACTTGCAACAACTTTTCAAAATGGTGGATAGCGATAAGAATAGTATTGATATAATAGACTCCAAAGTACAGGTTAATAACTTTCAACCTGTTTCTTTTATCCTTCTGGTTCGCGACACTGGAGACTCAGTTCGAGATACGCCACATTACGGACCAGCGGCAGAAACACACCTACCACCATGGAAACCTTACTTGAGGATCATATGGCCGATGACCGCGAGGTTATCCTCAATTCTAATGTACCTGATATCTACGATTGTCTCATGGAGGCGATTCTCAGACATTTCCTCCCATCGAGGGAGGAGCGATTGGGAGCATTATTACGCTGGGGGATGCTAAACCGAGCCACCACTCCACGCGCGTGTATTATTTAGCAGGACCTACGACAGCGGATTTCGAAATAGTTGAGGAATTATGGCTCGAGTCTGTATCACCCCACATACAGCCTACGATAAAGGCCCTGCTCGAGGACACACCACTTACACAAGTTGCTACCATAGTACACAAAATATTAGCATTTTAGATAACTGTGTGGTTTCCTCAACGTCCTATTTAAATGTAGATCTTGTAGCTAGTCACTTTCCAGTTCACGGGGATCGGAGTGGTTGTATTCACAGCCGTCTCAAGTTCCGTCCATCATCCCAGAGCCTCACGTCTCCTGAGCCAGGTTGCGATCACGTAGAGCTGTAACTACTTGCCCCAAGCGGCCACCTTCCAATTATTAGTCTCCATGCCTCAGAGTTAAACTGGAATGTTCTGGATTATCGGTTCGCGGAAATTTCTGGTGAAGTCACATTATGTGACAATTTCTTATCTTGATAATTTCAAACTTACAGCCTAGCTATCCTGCTTTCATAGTACGGTTAAACGACGACTATGATCACAAGTAAGGGATATAATTTTAATGTCGCTAAAAATCAACTGACTGCTTCATGAGCCAACGCTCTACAAACCCTTCACTTTTCAAGCGAAACCTATTCACTAGGTTTCACATGAGTTTCTGCTAAAATTAAGTATAATCGTCGAGTAATGTGTCTAACCTATTGATCTATAAGGTGATTAGGTCATACGTAATCCGGTATTGTTTTCAAATATCTCCTTCTGTTATTCTAGATCACATTATTAAAATGTACTAGGGTAGCATATTCGCACCAGTAACGAGCTTCTTTGAACAAGTATCCATGTAGACACTCAACACTTGGACAGTGAACGCCAACAAAGCTTAGTCAAGCACTATGGTAATATTCAGCCAACTCCATTTCGACATGGCCTGAGTTTATTAAAGCAGCTCTTATTCACATAATATCATGCGGTTTGTTCTGCCAGATATTTTGCTGGGTTGGGTCCTTAATGTCTTTTAAGAGGCTTTTCACCACACTACGTAGTAAGCTAAGTTTCACGATAGTCCTTTTTTAATAGAGTGTGGTTTGCCACATTAAAGTAGTTGAATATGCTGAGGCAGTAGAAATCACTTATAATGGCATCATCACAGTCTTCAGTCTTTAGTTTTGGTCATAAATTGTACACTACACCTGACAGTTTATAGAACTGTGAAAACCCAATCTTGTTTTTAGTGTGGTGATATGATGTGTTCTGTGAGAGACCACCCCCAGGCTCAGCACACGCTCGGAAAGAGTAGCATTTGGGTCAAGCGAGGCATTAAACGATTGCGACATGAGAAAAGGGGAGCCTAGTGCAAGCGGAAGGTCTCTGTGAATGATTACGACCGTAGACCTTACTTGGAATCGAGAAAATGATACAGAACCAAAGCTCGAAGTGATAGGACATGCTCCACGGTGAGGCTGGCTGTCAAAATACAAGCGAAGCCCAAGCATCTGTTTAGGTTCATGACAAAAAGAAAACCTAGAAACAAGGGTGTTTGTCCTCTCAGAGGTCCAAATGGCAAAGATCTTACCAACCAAGAAATGGTTTAAATATTAAACACTAACTTCACCAATAAATTAAATCGAAGCACTTGGGATTATTCTCTCTGAATTACAGGAGAATCAGAGATGATCTGGTAATGTGGTAAAACATAAACATAATCTAATTATACATAGGATCTTAAGTATATGCATCAATGATATACTGTTGCTCGATACAGATGCTGGTATCCAGATATGCTATTGCTCTGAAACAAACTTTTCCATTCCAATCACCGAACATACAAACTCACAACCAACTGCCAACTGACTAAAATTAGACAGTCGACTGGCTAGACCCCCATTCATTGGACACTACCAAACACCTGAAATCGTACCGAAAGAACAAGAATCGAACGAAAATAAATCAATTGGTTGATACTAGCTCATGAAAATATATTGATAATTGGATATTGAGGTGAAAGTATCTATCCCGTCCTCTACCAATTGACTAGATCAATTACAGTATATGACGCCAAGGTTAAGAATTTGTGTCGAGTTCAAAAATGTCAGCAGATGGTATTCTTTATGAATTCCTCGCACGGGAAAGAGAAGAATTACGAGGACTTGAAAATGATTTAGACTTAAAACCAAACGGTTTGTACCGCACTTGAATGAACTTTATTCTTTAGGAGAAAATATTGTTTCTGAAAAGCCGCAGCTGGACGAGGAGCCGGAATGCATAAAACGTTGGGCCATAGGTTTTCAAAAACGAATAGAAGTCAAAGATGATGCAGAACGCAAAAACATGACGGTACTAGAAGAACAGGGACTGAAGGTAATTTCAACTATGTAGTTTGATCTCATACCGACATTTTGATCTACGTAGCCAAACAACAAAAATAGGAAACTCGAAGGCAAGCATTGAGGTGAATGTTTCAGTGAATTTGATGTAAAAAAGGCGGTAGTGCATCAGAATGTTCTTTTTTCCGTGACGCAGGGTATGAATCAAAAAACATAATAGCTGGGGAGCAGTTTATTGAAAATATTTAGGAGGTTTGTCGTTTATTTAAAAAATCACACGAACGTTTAATCGTTACAATATCGGCCCCCTAATCGACAAGAAGCGTTTTCATCGCTGTAATTATGTGGATAAGCATAATAAGTCAGTTAGGGATGTTGCTAATAAATGCTGATTGCGAAATTGTAAAATACGGTCATGTTGCCAAGAACACAAGATTTCACTTAAAAAGTGTAAGGCAAAGGTCCAAAATGAAGGTGGCCACTTACATTTTCTTTCGTCCACTAACAACATTTGTTCAGCTTATCTCTCATGTCATGAAGGAATCCTTGGTTAGTGACAGCGTACACTTGCAAAACTTTTTTCACTGATATTAGACGACAGAAATTTGATGGTAATGCACCTTTAGAATAGTAGGAAGTAAAACATAGTCTTACCTCTTATACTATTGTAGAATCGAGACTCCATGAGGCATCATTTTATGATGGTGCCCATTGGCGTTAAATTTTTTGTCTGTCCCAGTCACATCATGTATGATAGGATAGACCTAAAAGAACAATCAGGCTGGTAATTGCTCAACCTCGTGATCATTGCCATCTTAGTAGTGAACAGACTATGAAATTAATGGCATTACTTACTTTCGACACATGTCTAATGCTTAGAATTCCTCTTCAATGGATTATGGGGACTTCAGGCTTGATAATCCTGCTCCGTTTGTAAAAGATGGCTGATCCTCTGTCGGTGCTTTGATTAACATTTCAACGATATGATCAGACAGTTTTGTAATGTTCAGGTTAATATTTGACAACCTGTAATACGAAAGACAATTTAAACATTGATCTTACTAATCCAATATAGCAGTGTAATCGATGTACAGGCCCTTGCTGATTGCAACAACTTGATTTTGGTTAAACTTATACAATAGCATAACAACAGTGGATTTTCTAACAGCCCAAACTGAGGATATTCTGTTCGGCTGCGACGGATTTACATTTATGCGACATTCAAGTGAACAGAATCGTATAAGTATTTCTTTTTTCGCTTGATAACTTCTGTACAAACTTTATAGACAAAAACCAAGTTTTTTTATCTTTCTGAAGGCAAGGTGTTTTCATCCTGTGAATCCCGATAACCGACTAAAATAGTCATCCATCGAACCAAGTCAGATGAACAACTCAAGTCGTCTGTTGTATAAAAAATATTAACGTTTTTGACTAACCAAAGTAGTGCAGTACAACACCTTTTGCAACGGATCAATTTCGGTCCGGCCCCAAGTTTTACAAAGCAATGTTGGCCATGTTATAAATTTCATAAAGAGATAGCTCTTTGCACCGTCTCGTTGCTCTTGACTATCTCTCTAACATGTTATTCTTAACTACGACATAACTGCAGTTAATATAATAAACGAATAAGCTAAGCTATGAGAGTTTTGCAAAAGTGTACGCAGTCACTAACCAAGGATTCCTTCATGACATGAGAGATAAGCTGAACAAATGTTGTTAGTGGACGAAAGAAAATGTAAGTGGCCACCTTCATTTTGGACCTTTGCCTTACACTTTTTAAGTGAAATCTTGTGTTCTTGGCAACATGACCGTATTTTACAATTTCGCAATCAGCATTTATTAGCAACATCCCTAACTGACTTATTATGCTTATCCACATAATTACAGCGATGAAAACGCTTCTTGTCGATTAGGGGGCCGATATTGTAACGATTAAACGTTCGTGTGATTTTTTAAATAAACGACAAACCTCCTAAATATTTTCAATAAACTGCTCCCCAGCTATTATGTTTTCTGATTCATATGAATTGTAGAGATGATTTGTTTGGTGTGGAGAAATACAGGTGAACTTTCCAAGGAAAAGGAAGGCAATCGGATGCATTGCTGACTGTATTTACACGAACTTCATGAAAGCATTTTCCTCACAGTTCATCTTCATTAGTGTTTCGCGTTGAGCTGAAATTTGAGGCTGAACACGGACATTGACTACATATTTTCCGTCCGAAGGCAGGAGGCCTCATAAGATATTTTGTATATATATGTTAAGCATATTTATAGTATTATAACCATCCTTTACTGAGTGGCCATTTATTCAATCTGTGTATTTCCAAGCATTCCATTTTTCGGTTCCTATTATATGAAATTATTTTGCTTCCATGTTGACATTGCCACAATAATTACACTGTTTACCGATCATATATTTAACTTTCGAACTACATATTTGTCAAAAAAACAAATCTATCTTTGTGATAGTAGTATGAAAAAGTTTCTCCTTCCAGTTCCTTGATGCACTATGCTACATATTAATGAACGGGAACTATGGGTAAAGTTGGGAGAATTATTTCGTAAATTTTTTTTCCAGTACGGCTGATCATTTTAAGCTCAGAACTATACTATGAAAACCATGTAGAGTTATTCTCATGTAGAGAAGCCTGCCTTTTGGCAAATATGAGTAGGGAAACCGTTAGTTTATACTGAACTTGTATTTTTAAACCTGATGTGTTAATAACAGAGATTTCTCTCAGTAACGGTATTCTGTTTATTAAACAACCGTATATTAGAGACATGAAACCTTAACATCACTGATTTGTTTGACTAAACACATAACTTTTGACATAATCCAAAGAGTTCAGGTTTCTCTGAACAATACTAAAACCCAGAAATAGTTATAACAATGTGCTATTCTGAGTTCCAGTTATTCCTGACATCGTAGCAACAGAAAACATTTAAAAATACAAATGTATAGACAGCAAAAATGTCAGTTGTAGATAAAGCAGAGAAGGGAAACATGCCTATATATACCATATAATAGTTATCTACTGAAGAATGAATCAGGACAAGAAAAGTGAGGGATTAGATTTTCTTAATTTACTAGTCTAAATCATGTACGTTTACCCGTGAAATTACATCAGACCCACACTTTCGATGCTTAGCGTGATTGGTACAGTTATGGGATTGCATACAGATGCAGCTTTATCAGTGAGATCAATCAATAGCAACGTAAAACTACTTACGTACATACATCAGTTCATGTTGCCGTACCACACAAACACAGAGATGTAATTGTCAGTTCGAATCCCATAGTAGTAGAGGTAGTAAATCTATTAGCAGTAATCGCAGAGATTAGGATTAGATATTATTCAAGCACCTAGCACCCGTTTCCTAAACACAGCGTTGCTTACTCGGTTGTCCCACGATACACGAGCGATCCTTCGGACACTTATGATCGAAAACAAGCAACCTACGAATATCTTTTACTCTGACTGGCCATATTTCACGGCCATAAAGTAAGACGGGGCAAACTACTGTGCAGTAGACTATTCCTTAGTCAGTTTCTCAGTGAGATGCCGCTTATAATTTATGTTTATTATTTCTTTAAAGGATTTGCATGAATGGGCAATTCAGTACCGTGATTCTCTTGCTCGGGGACAAAAACTCAGCCGCGCTCATGACAAAGAACTTCAAAGTACTCAACAAAAAGCTGCAGAAGCATCAGCCAGAATGTCACAGTTGGACGCTGGTCAAGCTGTTCTGTGGGAAAGAGTGTGCCAGTTGTGTAACTTTGTCACTTCTGGTAGTGAAGAGACAACAAACGTCCAAACCGTCCCGATAAATGCAAAGGATAATCAACGAGATCTAAACAGGATGCGCGTGCTCCTCTTACAATTGAAGAAGAATCCTCCGGCTATACAATCTAACAACATTCGATCCCACTAACGTATGAGCTTACTGTCATTGAAGTGCAATATTTTATTTAAAAACTGATCTCGTATATTTGACTTCATGGTAGACTAGCAAGTTAACATTCCCATTGTCTCATGACTATCTTTATCTGTGTTCGCAATTGTCTTCTTAGTAAAACTGACTTCTGAACTTTGGTTTTTACAACGAACTTCCTCATTCTATAAATTTTGGAAAAAACGCAAAAATCACCGCCCTATAATTCTCGTTGTTAGGTTCAATTTAGTTAGTGTACAAGTATTTCGAGACGAATTAGTTATTTATTGATGTTGCAAAGACAAACTATTACAATACTTTTCTAAATATTTTACAAAATTTGAATTAAGTTCCTAAATCGCCAGCGACGCGTCTGTTATAAGAAATAGTACTATCTAGCTATCGAGCATGTAGTAATTTGGAAATGCGTTCACTGTAGTACTGAGTCAAAGTTTGGTTTGAGGCGTGCTGCAGTAATATAATATGAACTGCCGTGTCAGAAATCATCTCAAAGGTGTAGCAGTTATCGAATAGTAAGACAAAGAGCACTATTTTTTGAAAAAAATCCATTCAAGCCATCTAATAAAAACTGACCGATCTTCGCAAGTAATCAAATGATACTCTTCCAACCCCGTCCAAAAACATGTAAGTTTTATTGATTGTCAGTAATTTTTATTATTGACAAAAGTAGTGAAAAGTAACACAATTTATATTTGTGGCTCATTATTGTCTGTATCCATATTCTCTTCTTTTTTAATGTCTTCACATTCATCGTTTTCATCAGTTTTGACTTCTGGTTTAGTTTCTTCGTCAATCTCCTTATCGATTACTTTTACAGGCTCCACGAAGTTTGGATTTGGAATAGACTTATTCACAGCCCAAACCTAGTTCAGAGTAAAGATATCATATTAAACAATTGAAAAGCTTCGGCGATACATTCTTACAATAGGTTATTAGGTACTTAATGAAATAATTCTCGTTTCTAACAAGTGTAACATGAAGTGAATATTACTTACTTGAATGAGAGTTTCACTTAGTGGTATCATCTGCGGTAAAACTTCACTAACATGCAAGTCTTGCAGCTCGAACCATTTTCCAGTACCTCGATGTACTAAGTGTATACGATGCGTGCCGGAGCCAGGTGTTGGGGGACCGTCATGCACAATATTGGCAACCAAGTCGTAAGTAGTATATCTATTTAAGGTTTACAAAAAGATAATCAATGTTGAAGACCTAGTTTTTATAATATCTAGCATAAAAAATAAAATAAAATTATCAGATTTATCTGAGTGGATTTTCTAAATGAGGTTGACACAGAAATAAGTACGGTCTATTCTACAAGTAAACGGATAAGTCTACTTAAGAATAAAGATGTAATACGGGAGGGTAGTGTTAAGAGTTTGTTATTAATATTGATATGTGTCTAAGAGTATTTTATCATGACCAGATACATTAAGACAATAATGTTGATGAAGTCACTAATCTTAATGATATATCTATGACCTAATTTTGAAAGCGAACAGTTGTTTGTTCTTACGTCATCATCCTAAATATATGACGGGAGCTATCAAAATAAACTTGTTTTACGATATATATCATTTTTATGGATACAAACTAAAAAACTAACATGCTAAATGCCAATATTATCTGAAGAATCTCGACAAGATCTTTGCGCATTTACCTCACCAGTTCTTTCTACATGCAGACCTGGATTTACTTCCCATTGGTTCTCAACAAACAGTGGTTCTTCGAAGCATAACCGTCGTAAATCACACCGACTATGTGGAAGAATTTAGCCATCTTTAAGAAGTCACTGTATCTTGTGAAAAGTTTAGCAGCGTCAGCGGTAATCGATAAGATCAGGCATCGAAGACATGATTCAAGAAGTATAGTCCAGTGAAATAAATTTAGAAAGAGAAAGATAAGGGTGACGAGGAATTCAAAAAATTAGGATTCGAGAGAAGCCAAAGAATAGATGCACCTGAACCATTTCATGTCCTCTTGAGTCATAAGATTCAAAGTTGCTAACTATCGATTACTATCAACTCGCAGACTCAACCATGTAGTCTACACCTACCAACATGACTCATTTGGCTTGTCAGTGACTTCATGGACTTATGCCATGTGTTGGTTTGGCCGTCCCTAGCTTTCTTCCAACCTACTCCGACACTACAAAACATTGTAACGTCCCAGGATATACAAGCAATGATTCGAGGACCACGACGGTCGAATACTAATAACCTATGGATATCCTCAACTTTTAGTGGCTATACTTTACAATTGTAGAGTAGGACGAAGCGAATTACTGCACAGTAAATTCATCCTTTGGTTAGCAGACGGATATTTCGCCTATACCATAAGTTGGCAGAAGCCAGTCGAGCCTTCCGTATCCGTGCTGAAATTTCGTAGGTCACCAGACGATTAGCACCCATGAAACCCGCAAGAAAAGTTAAGCAACACGCTCAAATACTTCACTTCCTATCACTAATTTAAGTACCGACGCCAGCCAATTATGAAGAGGGAGATTCGCATCCCGAACAAGGTTGCATTATTTCCTAAGGCGGTCGGAAGACTCTACATTTTGTCAGCGTCTTCACCAAACAGAACTACATCATCTGCATATTATAGGTCAACAAGTGAATCTCCTGGTAGAAGGTCAACTGAAAATTAAGATGGTGCCAGTGTTATCGCTGAAAGCATATCAATGACAGTCAAACAAGAACGGCGAAAACAGACAACCCTGACGAACACCACTTGAAGTGATCGATTCCGATGACAGTTCACCATAAGCTTTAACTCGACTAGTAGCGTTTGAGTAGAGAGCCTGTACAAGCGTTATGTACTTCTTTGGTACATTGACAGACACTGCCACAGAACCCCCAAATCAAACGAGTCGAACATATGTTCTAGGACCTGGCGAAGTGTAGGCTTCTTATCAGCCTGCGCTTAAGCTGACTCCGTTTCTCATCAAGTTCAGAGCTAGCCCGGATGAGTTTCCAAGTATCTATCAGTTCAGTAAATGCAATGGACATCTACTGATTTTCCCTAATTTCATGGTTTTTCTTACTGGAAGATATCACTGCTGTTCCTAAAGCTTTATGGATATCGTTCCAGGTTGTCTCGGAGTGGGTATCACTAACCTGGCTACCTAACTGTTCTACTATTCGCTCCTTAAATACACTTTCGGCTTTTTTATCGTTAAGTAGAACTGTGAGGGGTTTCTTCACATTCAGTAAGACGCAGACAAATCTGAACATGTGTTATAGAACAAGCAGTCTTCCATCGAACCTCTCTATCGGTGGCTGACAGCAATAGGGTCTAGTTGGGTCTACCGCTGAGTCGATTTTCGGGGTCGCGATTTCAAAAGATATTTTTCGTTATTGTTTAAAATTGGTACCGGCCAGAAATAGTAGGTTATATAAGTATAGTTGTTGTAGACAGTCACCGTTATCCGTTCTTTTAGCTGCGACACCATAAGATCTACCCAGGTGACTTTCAGATTGGCTTAGTCTACCTATTTGAGCATTGGAATCACCATCCACGATTACTAAATCAGTGTGCTCAGCTTTTTTAAGGTTGGAAAGATTTCTGTAAAATTCATCTTTTACCCCATCCGAGCTGCAATCTGCCGGAACGTAGACGAAGACAACGGCGAGCGTCCCTATCTTTCCGAGTTCTTACTGTTCCATTTAGTCGGATAGTGCACAAGCGATTGTCTACTGGAGTCCAGTACATGAGAGCTAGTTCTGCTTCGGAAGTGAATGCTGTGTCTATAACAGCGAAGCCAGTGGTAACGTCATTGGGGCTTTCAGATACACGAAGAGACGGTTTTACAAGGGACAAGTGCTTCAGGCCGGTCATGCACGACATTCTCATAGAACGTCTTCAACGTGTTAGCTTCGCTCTTCAAGTGGCCACCACGTTAAGGTAGCAGCTACGGTAGGGAAGTTTTAGTAAACTATCTTAATCCATGTAGCGTCGTTAACCTTTGTGTTCACTAAATCAAGTACAAACAGTGGCTAGCGTTCGAGATCTTTTGAATTCATACGGGTATTGAATTTGATAAACTCGAAGCCAAAGGTCACGTTATAACGATTGGTGAATGAGATAACTTGTTTAGCCTGATTAATACTACAACAACAAGTAGATGAGGGTGAGAATCGATAAAACCTTTGAAATGAGCGTTGGCAATGATTTTTGAAGGAAAAAATAAGTAGTAACAGTATAAACACGTTTGAATTTAATGAAGAACGTAATAAAAGAAGAGCTTAATCTGTATTAACTATCATTTGGAATGACGAGTTAATAGCTAACTTTCAGGTGTCTGAAGTAGCCGTTATAACACGGAAAAAATTCTAAAGTTAAATTTTCTGAAACTGACGAATATTTATATGAACTGTACTGACACGTGACAATCTAGGAATAACTATCAACAACAGCAGTTTCGTCACATTTAAATATGAGGCTGGCGGTTGACTTACTAAGACTAGCTGGTTCGTGAAGAAACATTATACATATATAATTAAGAAATAACGATACATAAAACAGTTGAACTTACCGGTGTTTAGCTCGAAATTCTGGGGCCAACAATTCACCGAAATCAATACTTTTAATGGGGAAGTTAACTATTGTTGGGTTTTTCTCCAATGTAAAGATGTTTTTAACAAATCTTTTCATATAAAGAATTAAATAAGGAGGGAGTCGACGAAGCTCGAATCGACGCAACGTTGAATCACGATGGGTCTTATATTCCTTTTCTGTAACTCCGTTAAATTTTGAGAGGAGTGTAGCTAGTGAGACCTGTGGAATGATATTCTCTTTAAATTCATCTAGATATAATGGCGGTGGAGGCAAGTCGCATGTAAGATAGAAGAAATTTATATCTGATACTGAAGTCTGAAAAATAAAAAAATACTGACAAGAATATCAGAACTTCGAATGATATTCATAATCTGTCATATGAAAAGGAAACGAAGACTAATACTAGGGACATCAATATACCATTGTGTGAGATGACACCTTGTGTATTTTCCCAGCTACCTGATCTGTAATGATTCGAAACTTTCCTGGTTATCAAAATTCAACGTATTATTGAAGGTTATAGATATTTATTGATTACAAATAAAATCTTATATCGAAATCAGTTTAGCATACTTTTGGACAATTGGTGACTAAAATATCCATAGTTCATCTTGTGCATAACAGGGAACTAAAGATCCATCATCTAAATACTGATCATATCGCCTTTTCCTTGATTCTCTGAAGACTTGGACCAAACTGCTAACAAATACATATGTCGTAAACATATCTTTCATAATCGTGGTGGTGTTTCGTTCTCTGAGCTGGTGGTTTTGGTTGTGGAGCTTTCATTGTTCTGCTGAACAACATCATCACCACAAACTTCAGATAGAAGTGAAGCATTCGAATTTCTCCACGTTTGACCTGTAGCTTGTTCTGCTAACCTCGATCTTGATTGATTGTTGTCGACCTTAAACCTGTCGTTGTTTGCACATTTGTTTTGATTGTATCCTCTTTTTGAACTGTTTCTTGATACTATGTCCCCTATGATTTTTCTGATTGGTTGATAAATTGGGTCAATGTCGGTGTGTTCATCGATTGCTGATTGACCTGAGTGCCAAGCTTCTAAAAATTCTCTAGTGTTCTTTGTCCTCCCCCTATCCAGTATTTCCACATTGTCCCAATCGAATGTATGTCCATAATTGTCGGTATGTATTGATATAAGCGAAGAGTTGTCGTGGCGTTTGACTGCTAATTAGTGTTCACGTAAACGAAACTGGAGAGGCCGTCCACTTTGTCCTATGTAATGTTTTTCACAGTCTGAGCAATTTATTTTGTAGATGGTATTTGGTTTTTCCTCCTTTGTCATTTTGTCCTTTGGTCTACGTAGGATTGATTGGAGTGATTCTGTTGGTTTGTGTGCCACACCTTTTCCAATTGGTTTCAGTAGTCGTGCTGTGTGTTCCGATGTCTTTTATGTATGGTAGAATGACCCGTTTATTGGTTCCTGTACTTGATTTCGGTTCTGTTGACGGTTTTGGTTGATGTTTTTTGATGAAGTTGAGTGGATAGCCGTTTTTTTGGAAGATAGTCATAAGATGTTTTTCCTCGTTTTTTAGTGCCTCAAGTGTGCTGCAGTGTGTCTTCGCTCTCTTGAACAACGTTTGTATGCAGTTGATTTTGTGGGTTCTTGGATTGTTGCTACCGTAGTTGAGAATTACGTCTGTGTGGGTTGGCTTCCGGAATACTTGAGTTTCTAGTTTTCCTGTGTTAGTTCTGGTGATTAGTACATCCAGGAATGATAGGCTGTTGTTTGATTCCTTTTCCATCGTGAATTTGATGTCATCAAAGACGTTGTTGATCCGATTGTAGATGTTCATTAGCTCATTCCTTTTGATAATAACGAATGTGTCGTCTACATAGCGACCCCACATTTTTGGCTTGATCACTGGCAAAATCGACGCTTCCAGTCTCTGCATTACAGCTTCGGCGATGAGTCCTGATATTTGTGATCCGATTGGTGTTCCTTTTATTTGTTCGTAGACTGTTGTTGAATTGAAAATACGTTGTTAAGCATAGGTCGATGAGTTCAAGCAGACTTTGACTCTGAAGCTTTGTATATTTGTGTAGATTTGTGTCGTTGATGAGGAGCAGAGAAAGAGTTTCTTTAGCTAAGCTTGGCTCTATTGAGGTAAATAAGGCTGTTACGTCGAAGGATATCATCATTTCGTCGTTGTCAATTTGAATCCCCTTGAGTTTATCCAAGAATTGTGTGGCAGACTTGATGGAGTAGTTGGATTCATCCACCAGATGTTTTAATATCCTTGAAATTTCTCCTGATAAGTTGTAGGTTCGGGTTCCGAGGAGGGTTGGTTGTTGTCTCTCTTCCGTCGAGTTAGTGGTACTATGGTTTGCCTTATTTCTTGTTGAGTTTCTTCACTTATTCCTGCCGTTTTGAGTGATGACTGTAATGCCGCAAAGAATTCCAGTTTTGAAGCGTCCTTCGTGTTATGGTTTAATCCTTTTTGGAGCAGTTGTACTTCTGTTGTCGTTAGATGTTGCTTCGATAGGTTGACCACACAACTGTTTGCGTTTTCTTCTGTGGGTGGCTTTGAAATCTTGATTAGTTTGTCTTTGAGGATGCTTCTTCCTTGTTCTCTGTGTCGTCTGCCTGACAGTTCGATCGCCGTTGTCAACTTTGTTAAGTGTTCTGATGTAAGTATTCTCTCTAGTTTTCTTTTTTGTTCATCCATGTTGTGCTGGTATTTGTGGATCCTGTAGTGTGCATCGGTGATCATTAATTGTACCATATGTCTCCCACTTTGCTCCGCTATTCGCCATCCCATTAGGCAGTTGATTGGTGGTCTATATCTGACACTTGTTGGCAGAACATGCTGACGAAGACATTCGTGGAGAAAAAACAGTTGTTCTCGAATGGAAGCCTGCTTTTTTGCGAAATTCTCCGATTTTCGAACAACGAGAAGCGTATCACGCTCATACGATTTTGAGATGCTGGAGTAAACATGTAGCTCATGTGGATGAATGTGGTAGTGTTTTTCGAAAATCGGAGAATTTCGCAAAAAGGCAGGCATCCTCAAAGACAAACTAATCAAGATTTCAAAGCCACCCACAGAAGAAAACGCAAACAGTTGTGTGGTCAACCTATCGAAGCAACATCTAACGACAACAGAAGTACAACTGCTCCAAAAAGGATTAAACTATAACACGAAGGACGCTTCAAAACTGGAATTCTTTGCGGCATTACAGTCATCACTCAAAACGGTAGGAATAAGTGAAGAAACTCAACAAGAAATAAGGCAAACCATAGTACCACTAACTCGACGGAAGAGAGACAACAACCAACTAACAGCACAACAACGAAAAGCTCTAAAGAAACTCAAAGCCAGGGAAGATATAGTCATAGTTCCAGCGGACAAAGGACGCACGACAGTAATCATGGACAAGGAGGAATATATCAAGAAAGCCGAGGATCTACTTCAGGACAGAAGCGTGTATAAACCAGTCGACACAAACCCTATAAAAAAGTTGGACAATCAAATCTCAAGGACTCTAAATAGGCTTGTAAAAGCAGGGCAAATATCAAAACAAGATCAATGGAGAATGAAATCCAATGGACCAATAATTCCACGATTCTACGGTAGGCCGAAACTCCACAAACCTAACATTCCACTACGTCCTATTGTATCCTTCCTCGGAACCCCGACCTACAACTTATCAGGAGAAACTTCAAGGATATTAAAACATCTGGTGGATGAATCCAACTACTCCATCAAGTCTGCCACACAATTCTTGGATAAACTCAAGGGGATTCAAATTGACAACGACGAAATGATGATATCCTTCGACGTAACAGCCTTATTTACCTCAATAGAGCCAAGCTTAGCTAAAGAAACTCTTTCTCTGCTCCTCATCAACGACACAAATCTACACAAATTTACAAAGCTTCAGAGTCAAAGTCTGCTTGAACTCATCGACCTATGCTTAACAACGTATTTTCAATTCAACAACAGTCTACGAACAAATAAAAGGAACACCAATCGGATCACAAATATCAGGACTCATCGCCGAAGCTGTAATGCAGAGACTGGAAGCGTCGATTTTGCCAGTGATCAAGCCAAAAATGTGGGGTCGCTATGTAGACGACACATTCGTTATTATCAAAAGGAATGAGCTAATGAACATCTACAATCGGATCAACAACGTCTTTGATGACATCAAATTCACGATGGAAAAGGAATCAAACAACAGCCTATCATTCCTGGATGTACTAATCACCAGAACTAACACAGGAAAACTAGAAACTCAAGTATTCCGGAAGCCAACCCACACAGACGTAATTCTCAACTACGGTAGCAACAATCCAAGAACCCACAAAATCAACTGCATACAAACGTTGTTCAAGAGAGCGAAGACACACTGCAGCACACTTGAGGCACTAAAAAACGAGGAAAAACATCTTATGACTATCTTCCAAAAAAACGGCTATCCACTCAACTTCATCAAAAAACATCAACCAAAACCGTCAACAGAACCGAAATCAAGTACAGGAACCAATAAACGGGTCATTCTACCATACATAAAAGACATCGGAACACACAGCACGACTACTGAAACCAATTGGAAAAGGTGTGGCACACAAACCAACAGAATCACTCCAATCAATCCTACGTAGACCAAAGGACAAAATGACAAAGGAGGAAAAGCCAAATACCATCTACAAAATAAATTGCTCAGACTGTGAAAAACACTACATAGGACAAAGTGGACGGCCTCTCCAACTTCGTTTACGTGAACACCAATTAGCAGTCAAACGCCACGACAACTCTTCGCTTATATCAATACATACCGACAATTATGGACATACATTCGATTGGGACAATGTGGAAATACTGGATAGGGGGAGGACAAAGAACACTAGAGAATTTTTAGAAGCTTGGCACTCAGGTCAATCAGCAATCAATAAACACATCGACATTGACCCAATTTATCAACCAATCAGAAAAATCATAGGGGACATAGGATCAAGAAACAGTTCAAAAAGAGGATACAATCAAAACAAATGTGCAAACAACGACAGGTTTAAGGTCAACAACAATCAATCAAGATCGAGGTTAGCAGAACAAGCTACAGGTCAAACGTGGAGAAATTCGAATGCTTCACTTCTATCTGAAGTTTGTGCTGATGATGTTGTTCAGAAGAAGAACAATGAAAGCTCCACAACCAAAACCACCAGCTCAGAGAACGAAACACCACCACGATTATGAAAGATATGTTTACGACATATGTATTTGTTAGCAGTTTGGTCCAAGTCTTCAGAGAATCAAGGAAAAGGCGATATGATCAGTATTTAGATGATGGATCTTTAGTTCCCTGTTATGCACAAGATGAACTATGGATATTTTAGTCACCAATTGTCCAAAAGTATGCTAAACTGATTTCGATATAAGATTTTATTTGTAATCAATAAATATCTATAACCTTCAATAATACGTTGAATTTTGATAACCAGGAAAGTTTCGAATCATTACAGATCAGGTAGCTGGGAAAATACACAAGGTGTCATCTCACACAATGGTATATTGATGTCCCTAGTTTCAGGCTTCGTTTTTGAGGAAAAATGCAGTTAGGCAAGCATTAGACACATGGAAAGGAAACGGCTTACTAACGAGCTGATAACATCAAAATAATGAGGAGTCAAAAGTAAACAGATCTATCAAATAGCTATATGACAACTTCTAGTTAGTGAGAATAGCTTAGTATACAAAAAATGACAAGATATTTTAGTTTCTAGAAAAGGTGCAGAGAACTTACTGCGACATAGTGATTCAATGGTATACATAAGTCTCATAATAAAATGACTGGTAAAACACTTCAAAAAATAAATTATTCTGTTTTCCTTCAAAGGTGTGGCAGGAGGCTGAAAGATATAGTACAGTTAGGTTGCAGTAAACTAACCCTGAATCATAAAAACTAATGGGCACATCCTTAAAATGCTAGTCTACTAGATTCTACTAATATCTCACCGCTTATCAGCTGTGTTGCGCTTCAATAAATGATACTCACACAGGACAGTTGGTTTGGTAATTATATATGCTCTGTAGGATTCGTCAGCTGTTTCAGACTGGCACCGATTTTACACATAATAGTAATATTTTCCAAATGTCTTGAATACAAACATTTATCTTTGAGCAAAGAAATGTGATACACCATTTTATTGATTATGGTAATTTATCTTTCTGATTCTTTACACTGATGAGTAGATTTCTTCATAATTTCCTCCTACTTAACAGCGAAAAGATTTTGCGCATTTAACGACCAAGACATTTTCATAGAATAAAAACAACTTCCTAATAAAAGTTTACTGTTCATCTTTTTTTGACAGTAACTAATACTCCTGATCATCATGTAGACGCTACTCATCTTCCTTGACGTTAGTCAGTATGAGTGATGACCTCTGAAACCTATCAGATAAACTAGTTACAACAAAAAACGCATATGATATATTTAAGCATACACAATAATATTACCATGTATTCGGGGCTGTCAGCTAAGGAAGCCTTCTCTTCATCTGTCATGTTTACTGGCATGATTTTTCGGCTGTACATTCTCATCTTTCCCCGTAAAGTAGATGAAACGATGCTTTTAAAGGTCTTATTAGTTGCATCTTTGGGATAGGAAATTCTTTTAACCCTTAAAGCTTTATCTATCGCATTAACCAACCATGACAAAAATTCAACAGCATCTCCTTGTTCAGTGATTTGGAAACGTTTTTTACTGCACAGCACAACCGCCTATAGGGGGAAAAGAAAAATGACAGATATGATTCCATGAATACTCTGATTACAATTTTAATAATTATTGACTGAAACGTTTGGACTCTGGGTATATATGGTATTAATGCTAATAAGGAAATTGGGGATCTGACTACTTGGTTACGAATTCTAAAAATAATAAACCGACCTAACAATTACATGTATATTGTATGAAAAACTAGTTACATTTTTTGAGTACTCAAACTTGTGCAGACAAGAGTATCTTTCAGCCTATGGCTAATAGCTAAAGTTTGTGCAGTTCAAACTACAAGTCATAGCTCTAAACCCTAGATGTTCTGATGATGCCACACCAAAATGCACTATTCAAAGTCATAGTAAGGTCACTATTTACTGGACAGTTTAATGATAAAGTCTAAGATTGACAAAAACCTTGATGAAAGCAATTACCACATTTCATTTTGTGTTTTTAAAAATCTGTGTTTACATGTAGATGACACCGAAGAATATGGTCATTACTAACAAAGTAGAATAGAACTGTTTATATATAAGAAAAATAAGCTTGCCTGTAGGAATTCATGAGGTGAGACGTGAGTTTTAAAGTTTCGAGGATTCCACAGTTTTCGAATAAGTTCACTAAATCTTTGAACTAAAAGCATCATTTGATCTCCAGGGACAGAAGGCAGATTCTCAAAGTTTTTGATGTTCAAAAAATAGTCTCGCAATGGACTGATATGACTGAGCATTTGCAAAATGACGTTGCAGTAATCATTAGCCTAAAACAAGAACAGGGTTCTGGGTATCAGGAATATATATAATCCAAACAGTATCTACTATTATAATTGACAAGGTAACCTACCTTGATATTATTGAGACCTACAACACCAGGATAATATGTAAGACCATTGTATGCTCTAACCATTTTTGAATAACTGTCCAAACCAAGTATTTCGGAAGTACTGAAAGTAGGATTTAGAAGGTAGGTAATATCTTCCAATGAGCCGTCTAAAATCTCGTAATCATCGGGTAAGCAATAAAACCGTCGAGTTTCTAAATTCAGGAAGACATGATGACTCTCACTAACACTGTGAGTGTAGGCATGAGTAGAATTTCCACGACCCTGAACAACAAAACATTGGGTAAGAAATTCTGTATAATATCATAAGTGAACTGTGAATTTTACGAATAAAATAACCAGGTTTTAAATGCCAGTGTATTGAAATGAAACTCACTACGCGAAGCTGTTGGTCCGATTTACTTGGAGTGAAGAATATGCCAGTTATGACAATTGGTATTTAGAGTTTTTCTGTAATAATACACGGCATTGTAACTCATTAATTAGGCAAACATTTAAACAGCTAACATTGGACCACATTTTTTGTGAGGCTTAGTGCGTAGATAGAAGTTAGAATAGATGACCCATTGATTAGATCCTAAGTGCCCTGACTGCTGAATGACCATCAATTATAACTCATTTACTAAGCGTAGATATAAACATAAACAAAAATCATCAATTCATATCAGTACAATTCAGGAATGCCTGTAAGATAGCGAATTCGGTTTATGCAACCGTGAAAACAATGATATAACAAGGTCAAATATGAGTCTTGACATTGTTAACATACCAAATTTTGTCGAGAAACAGAATCAAGTCAATGAAAAAATTCTTTGAAGTCAAGATTAGGATTTCCAAAGTTTTTCGATCTTCAGCAGATTAAAAAGCTAGTTTATTTATCTACAACCAAGACACGAACGAATCAACCGCACGTGAACCACCGAAGTTTTCAACCGTAAAACTAGTATACGGTTACACCACACTGTTAGATAAAACCATATGGAAAATGTAGAAAACAAGAAACACATTAGCAATAGTAATCAATTACTGTGAGCCCTAAACTTTAAAGAACTCCTTGTTTAACACAATGCAAGCAGTTGCACACAGCTGGATGTAAAATAACATGGATTGCTTTAGCCTTCAATAAATATAAAACTGATCCTCTCAATGGCTAATATCAACCCTTTGAGCATAAAGACGATATTGGGAAAAGCCCATTTTGGTTAAGCGAAAATTAATTGATGCGATGTGACGACTAAGGCCAACCCATATTTTTACCAGACTATACTCTACTTACGACTGATTGAGAAACAGTAGTAAATGTTTTGTTTTACTACTAAGTGCAAATGGTTTCGTTAACCTATTACGCATTGTTAAGTTATCACTTCGCCGGAGAAACAGTCAGACAACATCACTCCTGGGTTGCACTTTCAGCAATGAAGAATCCGTAATCGAACACTGAGCATCTGTGACTCTTCCAGAGAAAAATAATCATGCCGTCATAGCCTTCAAAGTTGTTGGCAAAACTGAGCTAAAACAACTTACTAACAAGGAGCGTTGGAATTTCTAATGGTTGGATTAGTCAGCTTTAAAAGGTCATCTACAGCAGCTGGACATCAAAGCCCATCCTCAATTTGATGTAGACGCTCACTAAGATTTTTAATTGCACACGACTTTACATGCTATAAACCAGTCTGTCCTACGAACAGTCCACAAAAGTTAAAAGTGATTCACAATTATAAGGATCCACAACTTTCGAATGCTAAGATTTACAAAGTACTATTGAGTAGAATTCAAACGAACTAGTGATGAAAGCACTTCAGATTAGGAAGAAACCAATGCACGAAAACGCCAAGAGAAGATAGGCCTTAGTATAAGCTGAAGCTGAGAGAAGCGGCTTCCACTTTGGCAATAACGCTTGGTGTGATATTCTCACATTTATTAAGCCGAGGTATGGTCGCATAAAATTGAGAGCTGAGATACATCACACCAGTTTTCAAAGGAAGTAAACGCGAAGAACCCCAAAGCTAGAGGGTGGTAACGCTTTGTCCAACACCCTCAAATATTATTGAATCCTTGATATACGACGGTCAACGCTGCTACTTGTTAGGTACTGACATACTTTCACCCTAATAACACGGGTTTCGGAACGGTCAATCCACTTTAACCAACCTGCTCACCGTGGCGAACAGAAAAACAACCGTTCTTGATTACGATATGCGATATTTGATGACTTCCAAGAGGCTTTTGACAAAATTAGTCGTTTATGTCTCATCAATAAGCTGTTAAATATCAGTCCAACCTTAATAGATTGATTTCATATATATATATATATATATATATATATATATATATATATATATATATATATATATATATATATAGGCTGAAGAGTATCGTAATTTGCAGCCAAACAAAAATATCGCACAAATCCACGAAGTCATTGGCAACTGAGGTGAGTCATATTAGTAAGAGTGGACTACCTGGTTGCAGTCCGCAAGACGATAGTAATCGATGGTCAGAGACTGAATAGCTTGGCTCAAAACCGTCTGCAATGGTGCAGATGCATCCGTTCTTTGTCTTCTCTTCAATTCTAATCTTCCTAATTCTTCAAGACCTTTGTCCTCTTTCTAAGTTTACCTCAGTGGGATATGGTTCGCGAATCTTTTTGGTTACCGCTAAAACTTCCATTACCTCTAGTACTCTGGGATTTGAATTGAAAATCGATTTCTGTATGCTAACGTGGTATGGCAACTTGAAGTGACGTATGAACGTACGAAGCTGTAAGTTGTAGCTGATTAAATAGGCTCTCAGGATTCAATTTAGATAGTTCCCCTCTAGAGGTATCTCAAGTTTAAAAGAGCTAGTATCTTGATGCCCTATCACGGGGTGGAAACTAACTGAAAGATCTTTCAGAAAAATCCCCTACTGCGAGTGCTCAAAATGCCTAAACCTCTTCTCCTTAGCGCAGAATGAGAAGTGATTTTATATAGGTATTCTGTATCTTGAATGATTTTGGTGTTAACATATGTTGTGACAAACTTGACATACCCTTATGGACTCAGAACAATATTTCGTCATAACTTACTTTTATTTCTCCGCTGCTCGTTAAATATACCCAGGTTGTCTTTTGTAAGCATCAATGACTTACTGATACTAGATACGGAAGGTTTTTAAGAGAAAGCCTATATTCTGTCTACAACCATTTCATGGAAATCGAATTGCCAAAATTCCAACCTATTTTCGATTGCAACACAACGGCTATAACCCTACTCAGGATGTTTGAAAAGCCTGTCACTTACAGCCCCTACGAGCAATCTAACCTAATTATGCATTTTTAGAGTAGGAATTCCTCATAAACAACCCAATCAACTTTTGGATGAAGTGTTTTCAGAGTGATGGAACACTAGTAATAATATGCAAAAACGGAAACTAAATGACTGGCAGAAACCGTATACAATAATATGCATGATTAAAAAACTCTGAATAACATTACCTGAAAGTACTTTCCACAGATAAGACAAGCATAAACATTCAGGTGAGATAAGGAAACCGAACACAGCTTCTCAAAGTCGAAATCCAGCATGTTCCTCCGAATAGTGTCGAGATATGGGCATGATCGACTTCTAGTGTCTTCATTCTGATCATTGTAAACAACTCCATTCCCAACATTGACCTGTTCTTCATCTGACTTATAAAAAAATATAAAAACAATAAACTAGTATACCTCTTCGCTACGCTTGATTCTTTTCGAAGACTTTTTGTGGGTTTTTTCGTGTTTTCTTTTATGTCCAGAAACTGATGAGACTGAGTGAGGTACAAACGATAGGGATGACATCGCAGTAACGCATGAGTTGACGCACCCACTTCAATAGCCAATGGTTCTACGACTGAATTATAAGGTTGCAGTTCGTATACTCGTTACGAAATACGACTTCAATATGGCATATCAGCCAGTCTCCTCATAACTCATCCATAAGTCTTGGAAGCGGCTGCTCAGTAGTGCTAATGAGTGCAACAAGAAAGATTCGTGGATGATTTTGGAGTCTTAACTGAGGAGTGTTGTGCAATCGTTAGTGGTTCGATTTTGAGGAGTTTTTACTTCCAAATTAACTCTTCCAAAAACGTACCACTGATTTTGTCTTGAAAACAGAACGGTAATCAAGATTATTGATCATCAGAGAATCGTCACAAAACTTGACCAGTTTGTTAAGATTTTAGTTACACTGTGGTTGAAAAATTTCTTTCTGTTAGTTTGGTTGCAGTCTGCTTTTTCAAGAGGAGCACAGTTAGCTTAGGCGCAGGCTGATAAGAAGCCTACGTAATGATCACGAATAGTGGTGGGTAGCGAATGCAAACGAGATCGAAATGGCAGCGGCAATAGCTAACTGCAGACAACTATTCAGACTTATCTAGGAAACCGGTCTTAGGGATCCAACTACGAGCGAGACTACCTGGGAAAGTAATGAGCATGTTATTCATCCTCAATGGGGGAGATTGAATCTATGGGCAGGACACGTTGGGAACCAGTTCAACTGGTCTTCAGCCACACTTCCATTACCTACGGATTCCAGTGAACCCGAATGGCAAGTTGATATGAGTCCTCCGGCTCCGAATGAAGTTGAAAATTCCATGAGAAATATGAAGTGGACAGCAGCATAGGCCAACCCCTAAGATTTTTAAAGATGGTGGTTTTTAGCAGTGATATTAACTGAGATATTAGCTATAATCTGGGAACCGGTCCTAATCACATCTGACTGGTCTCAATCACTGATTGTCCTGGTCTATAAGCAACGACAAATTTTTCTCGTGACAAATATAAAGGAATCAGTACAGCTAATACAATGTCCAAAATGTCTACAATATTGATTTCAGTAATAATTCGATACCTGAGGTTGTGACGAGCAGGTTCTATCAAACCAGGCTGGTTTGAGTCCTGAACGTGGATGTAGAGAACAATGGTTCACACTTCGTCAGGTCCTAGAACATTTGAGGATATCCATAGGTTATTAGTACTCGACCGTCGTGGTCCTCGAATCATTGCTTGTATATCCTGGGACGTTACAATGTTTTGTAGTGTCGGAGTAGGTTGGAAGAAAGCTAGGGACGGCCAAACCAACACATGGCATAAGTCCATGAAGTCACTGACAAGCCAAATGAGTCATGTTGGTAGGTGTAGACTACATGGTTGAGTCTGCGAGTTGATAGTAATCGATAGTTAGCAACTTTGAATCTTATGACTCAAGAGGACATGAAATGGTTCAGGTGCATCTATTCTTTGGCTTCTCTCGAATCCTAATTTTTTGAATTCCTCGTCACCCTTATCTTTCTCTTTCTAAATTTATTTCACTGGACTATACTTCTTGAATCATGTCTTCGATGCCTGATCTTATCGATTACCGCTGACGCTGCTAAACTTTTCACAAGATACAGTGACTTCTTAAAGATGGCTAAATTCTTCCACATAGTCGGTGTGATTTACGACGGTTATGCTTCGAAGAACCACTGTTTGTTGAGAACCAATGGGAAGTAAATCCAGGTCTGCATGTAGAAAGAACTGGTGAGGTAAATGCGCAAAGATCTTGTCGAGATCCGTCAGAAAATATTGGCTTCAATATTACTCTAATGCCTAGCTAGCGCTTTCCGACCTTAACGTGGCTGTATAGACCACATATATACACTTCTTCAGGTCCTAGAACAAAGGCACAAATTCAGACGTCCCACAAGAATGGTATCTCTCGATCTTGAGGCGGCTGTTGACTCAGTAGATTGCGAGGTTCGTTCTCTGTCTGTCACTGAAAGGAGTACCAAAAAAGGAATTTAACATCTTGCAAGCTATATACTTGGAAATTACTGGCCGAGTGAGAGCTTATGGTACCCTTTCATCTGAGCTGATTGCTAAAAGTGGTGTTTGTCAAGGTTGTCCTCTCTCTTCATTCTTATTCAACTTTTTCGTAGATATGTTTTTAGAAATAACACTTTTCTTGTGTGATTTTCAAAGACTGATCTTTTTTCAGGAGATTCTTTTCTCGATTCAAAATATACCAATGACATAGTTTTATTTAGTGAAGAAGCTGACAATTCAGAGCCTTCTAAACACCTTAAGCAAGAATGCAAGCATGTTCGGGATGCGATCCTCCCCGCAGATGCAAAATGTTTCTTCGGGATTGGGTTCCGTTGGCAATTGAACTAATGTAAGGGATTGAAATAGTTGGGCATGTTGACTGCTGATGGTCTAATGACTGATGAAATCTCATCACAGACACAGAGGGCTTGATTGGATTTTGCCAATTTACGTCATTTATGGAGTATGTGAGATATCCTTTTATTAACCAAAGGACGACTGTACTGCTCAGTAGTTCACTCCGTCCTACTTTATGGCCGTGAAACATGGCCAGATAGAAGATATCCGAAGGTTGCTCGTTTTTGATCATAGGTGTCTCCGAAGGATTGCTCGTGTATCATGGGACAACCGAGTAAGCAATGCTATTGTTAGGAAACGGGTACCAGGTAAGCATGGCAGGCCAGTCGATGAAGTAATGAAGTGGTTGGGACTTGAGTTGAGTATGCATAGCTACCGACTGCCTCGTCGAGCTGTATTTTGTAGTGTAGGAGTAGGTTGGGTGAAACTAGGGGCAGCCAAACCAAAACTTGTAGCATCCACTGTTTTTGTTCTCCGAAATTCTAATCTAAGCTCCTCATGGTCTTCAGTTATATCTTCTGAAGTCCATTTCACCGGATTATATCCTTTAAATAACATCTTCGAAAACCTAATCTCTCCGATTACTGCTCATATTTCTACTTCCTCCAGCACTATAAGAGTTGAATCGAAAATTTCATCTCTGTGCTATGTTGTATGGCAGCTTGAACTGATGTACGTACGTACGTAGTTCTAATTTGCAACTGGCTGTAATATCCATTTTGGAAGGCTTTGTTTATGAAAATCCCTCCATGTATACATTTGTAATATGTCCTTATTGATTCCTTCAGTTCTACATTTCGTCAACCTGTTCGATTCTATTTGAGACGATAATATTGGTACTTTATAATAGTTTCTATTTTTTGTGCCTTTATTGAGTTTCTGTGTTTCTTTCTGAACTGCATTATGTTGCTTATGCTACCTAGTTATGGAGACAGCCATATTAAATTCGTTCCTCTGTTGGCTGAAGTGCCTGCACTGACTGGAAGTGTGCAATTCGGATTGGAAATCGGAGCACTTCCAGAATAGGAAACACTGTGTTATAAGAGGGATAGAATATCATTTATTTAAACAATAGAAGGAATAACGTAAAAATATTCTTTGGAACCGTTACTTACCCAATCACTTGATTTGGATTCCAACTGGGCAAGCCGAGTTTCTAAATTACTTGGACAGTTATCCTTCAATCCAAACCTCATTTTGGATCTTACATTGACTGACTGTGTTATAGAGCTCTCAGACAAACTTAGAGGGTAGGTTTCACCATCTGAAGATCCACTAAGTTTCCTTCTAGGCTTCATCTGTTTAGCAGTTTCGACGGTATTCTCTGATTAGGGTACTTTCGCCTGCAGTAGAGTGCTTGGATTCTACCGTCTGAATTGAAGTTTCCGTGCTATGGAAATTTAACACCGTTGACTTAATGACGGAGCTGATTTTCAGTGCATTCTCACAGATGCCGGTTCATATTCTATCAATACTCATGTCGAAAACAATTTTCACATCATTGACAGTGTTCGTCTGATTATTTGTTGCTAGATTACTTCTTTACTCAGTTACTGACATTTATTTTCCACGAAGCTATTAAGAGACGGGCGACAATGCTCATCATATCCTCAGGATTAATATTGGATGTGCTGCATACCATTTAGTGGCTCTACTTCCTAAGTCTGTTGCAGGTGGCTGCTATACGGTCTAGACCCGCTTCGTGGAACAACGTTATCCAACATCTCAAAAACAATGGTTTGCATTTGTCGCACTACTTAGCAGAGATGGTTGCGAACTGTCAGCCAGGTCGCTTACATGTGGCATTAGTGTGGTCATTTTAAAACAAAAATTATTATTCAGTTTGGTTCAACAGTTTGAAACCTTGAGAAAAAACAAGAGAACATTTAAAGCCGATGAAAAACAACTAGACGCTTAACATTTGAAAAACTTTTAAAACTGAATAATTTAAGCCAAAGCTAATTTGTATTGCAAATGAGACTGAAGAAGAAAAGTGAAACATTAAAACTCAATCTCATGAAGGATTCTTTCGATCTGAAGACAGGGAAGTTCGACAAATGCAAAATACGTACATATAATGCTTATAGTTTGTAAAGTGTCCATCTTCTCTAGATTGCACAACCTACACATATATGTGCTTATGACATGCATTCATATTCATTCAGCCTTTGCAAGTAAAGCATTCTGCATACTTCTAATCTTCCTATAGTATTTAGCTAGAGGTGATAAGGCTGTCACTGTATCAGATGTCTAGAAAGTTGTAGTGAGCGAGTCAAGATACCAGATTGACTATGCTCACCACTAAATGTTCCATACGGTCGCGTCACGAATATCAAAACAAATTAAACCCATGATCCAAGGTTTTATTGAAGGAGACAGTAGGCATTACATCGGGAACAGCAAATAGAGAAATATGGCAGCAATGCGAAGAGATCATTGCGCGCAAATAGTGGAAGAACTGTTTTTGGTACAGTTAAACAAAACGAGTACAATAATGTTTATTTTTCACATATCATATTTTCTTCGTAGAAGCGTTCCACTATAGCAGCCTCCGCCTAGAAACGGTTCACACTTTCGATACGTAGCGGCTGCGTTCCGGGGGGGTGGTCTTGTCGGCCAAAATTTCCACTATAAAGTCTTCAGTGAACAGTAGGCCTTTCGTCTTTGAAAGTCGGTAC